TCAAGAAAAAGGCAAGGAGGAAGATTGAATCCTACTTTTACCAAGTGAAGCAACTGCCAAGTATGTAATTCTGTAGGAATTTGTTTGGGTTTTGAATTTATGAGTCCTTGTCTTTTCTCTCTCAGTAGAAAGGGAAACTCCATCATTCCTGGTTGTGTTGTTTATAATTTCATAAAACTGTTCTGTGACAGGACTTATTTTACCCAGCATGCTTAATCTTTCTCAAATAGCGGTGCACCCAAAGAGCAAGGTGACAAAAAAACATTTGCAGTTGAGAAAAGGAAGATTCAGCACCTGACATTTTATATAGAAAAAAGAATCAAAGGTTATGGTTCTGATACATAAATTAGGGCTTTGGGCAATTGAAAGATTGGACAGGAATGGAGTCATCTTGAGCAGGTCTTGCTGCACCATCCCAAATTTCTTTGCACTCTACATCCCACACCAGTACATACAGTGTAATGAACAAAGATGTAGAACCATCACCGTGGCAAGATTGAAGAGGCCCTTAGAGTGAATAATTAGGAGGAGGTGATTACAGAACTAATAATTCATGGAAAGGAATGGGGAGCCAATTCAGTGAAATTGAAAGAATCTGAAGGTAAATATGCCCATAAATCCTCTGGGGTGGACTCAGAGTTTAGCACTTTCTCCTACCCTGGTTTTATTCCAAGGCAATTTCATTAAACGCTAGAGAGAGGGAGAGAAAAAATAATAATATAAATGCCATAAAAAATCTTTCAGACGAAGGAATAAAAAGGGTTCCTGCCAGAGAGAGATTTTATTGAAAGTTATTATAATACCTATCTTTAGTTTTATGTCCTTTAATACAGGCCAAGTAATTTCAAATCTGGGGTTCTTTAAAAATGAAATACATATTTTAAAATAGTGTAGTGTGACTTATTATTTTTAATATAGAATTTAGCTAATATGGGGAAGAGAAAATATTTTCTCTCTCATGTTCTTTCCAATGAAAACACAAACACTGTTTCCATCGTAGCATATGGAGAATTTTCATTACTATACTGTTGCCTGTACATAAGAATGTTTAGCATTTACTATCCCTACATCTCTGGGCAGACACTAAAGAATTAATCTGTTTACATCCCCTGGGGCCAATGGGTGAGTATAATCAGAACCATTTCAAAAATGGGAAAAGGGAACCAGAAATGGGATTTTGCTTTCTGCCTTACAGTGGGATGAGAAGAAATTTAGTGGAGAGATTTCTAGGGTCTCTGTTCCCTAGCCTCTCCTGTCTTGTGGAAACACCAAATACAGTAATTCTCTGGTGAAAATTCTCAGCTCCAGGAGGGTTTTGAAAGGTACAGATTCCTGTTACAAGAAGTAATGGTCTTCTGGATGTTTCCTTGACTCTGTTTCTGTGGTCAGGAATTTGCCCCTCTTCCTCACTGAAAGAGCTTTATTCCTTTGTGATGATTCAGATGTTGGTATTTGAGTGGAAGGTGCATGGAAAACCAGTATGTGGTGGGACTAGAAAATCAGTTAGTGATGAATTGTGATGGAAAGTCCTGAGATTAAAAATACAAGATAGGAAATGGCAAGACGGATTATTGTACTTATCTTTTCAGTGGTTTCTAGAGATCTCATTAATGACCCTGACTTAAGTCTAACTCCACTTCTAGAGGCTTTTTTCTTGTTCTAACCCTCATTTTTATACATAAAAAATCAGTAGCATGGGATAAAGAGCAATCACAGAGCAAGAAAAACTGGAATATCAAGTTAAATAGCTCACAGTAGGGATGGGGAGAAAGGATGGAGATTAATTGATAAAATCAATTGTGGAACCAGTCTTGAAAAAGTGCAGATAGAGGGTTGAGTTGGCAGAGTTTTGCACATCACACATTTGCATTTTGTCTGAGTCTGGTTGACTCTGCCCTTCTCTGTTCAGAACCAATGCAAGCTGCATGAGGATTTTACAGCAGATAATCTGGTACACATATCTAAGAGTGCAGCATAAATATGTTGCATGTGCTGCCTTAAGCTGCTTATTAGATAGGTTATTGATCAAAAAGAGAAACAAGGGCCAGGCTTCATGACTTTTTAGGTCATGGCACAGGGACCTAGGTATAGGGTACTTAATAGCCTTGGAAGGATGTTTTTACCTTTAATTTGGCTGATCACTTCCAAAATGCATCTAAACTTTTATTACCTACCAGTATCCCGTTGCAAGGAGTTGCCCAGTTAAAATAAACAACCGACGAAGCAAACAAACAAACCCACACAAACCTCTCCCCTGCAAAACCAACAACATTGTGTTAAGAAATATGACCTGGGTTTTTTCAGGGCATGCTACCTTTCTGGTTTCATATGATGGCCCTAATAAGCAAGAGGGGAAAAAAAAACTTTTAAAGAAACTCCTTATTCTTTACAAATACTGAATCACATTGTCAATTCAATTGGATTTGATTCCAAGTTAATGTTGCATGAAACCCTTACATCTGAGCAAGTAAGTGGGTAATCGAATAGGTATAGCTGCTGATAAGTGACAACAACACATTGTTATAATTTTTGTTTATTTCCTACCAGAGCAAATCATCACTATTCTTCTATGAGAAGTGTGAATTGTCAGATCTTCAACTAAGAGCAAAATCCACACACTTTAAATTCACCCTGGAAACTAAAACCAACTGCCAGGCCAGGGCTTTAGCACTGAGGAAGGTCTTCTGGTAGTGATGGATATTTTATTCTTTTTTCACAGTGCTGTCCTTAACTTTAGTCAACTGCAGTATAAACCTCCAGTTTCACTAACTACATTTGACCTGCATGAAGATTTCATGCCGTATATTTTTGTTTACTAAATTGTGCTAAATTGCTATACATTGGTGCAATTAAAAACTAGGATCTTTCTACCCAGGGGCAGCTGCCTTTTACTGTTGGAAGATGCGACCACTTTATAAGTTATAAAGTTTATCAGGATAAATAATACTTTCAAAAATATATGTGACAAGAGCAGAAAAATTGATAAAAATAAATTTCTATTTTATGCCTTCCTCCTTTCTTATGCAGACAAAATTTTAAAGCCAGCTTGTTTTAAGAGAGAAATCAGCAGAATTCTTCCATTTTCTATGATGGAAAGATGTTAAAAAAATGTCCTTGACAATGTAAAACAGGAAATGTCTTTGTACATATTACCTCCAGTCCCTTTTAATCTTGACTCCCCATTGAGGCAAGATTATAAAAGTATTTAATGAAAATATTTAAGCATGAAACTACTGCAAGATTACATCCTACAAAACATTGCCAAATGGCAATGCTGGATATGACTGAGTAATATATACAATAGAGATTCCTGACTTCATGGCTGTTTTTTTACAGATACTCTATTTTTACAATTTTTATTTACAGCAGACCAATACTGCTTTTCCTTCTTTGCTCAATCTAAGCCCCGGGTATAAAGACTGAAGAAATGTTAGGTTCAGTCTTTCTGATTGATTTTTTGGTTCTGGTTTTTTCCCCTTAGTTCAAATACAAAGAGAGAGGGGAGAGTGAGGAACTTCTGGCAGGGGTCAGAGGTACTTCGTAGCACTAGGAGCACAGGAGACTAAAGAAAGACTGAAACCTCAGAACACTTATTTAAAGGAAAGAGGGAACATGTTGGAGACAGCCTTAGCAGACACAGGAATGTAAAGGAGACCTTATTTAAAGCTGGAGAGTCTTTTTCAGGAATAAGGATTTTAAGGGCTTGTCATGATGTGAGATTGCTGGGAGTATTCACTGAGAGTACTGAAGTATAGCTGCCCTGCTCCGGAGTTCAGCAGTGCTTTCTGCCTGGTGAGGAACATTTCAGGTGTTTTGTTTCAGGAGTTAACCCACTGATCCTACTGCTCAACAGAACAGGCAGCTCTCTTCAAGGAAAAGTTGTTGAGGGAGACTGTTTCAGCAGAAGCCATGATTTGAGCCAATGCTGCTGAGCTGTGGTAATTTTGTATTGTGTGCAGGAACATTACAACCTTTATCCAGAGGCTGCCACAGACTCTCCCTAATGGTCTGCATTACTAATTCAACTAATTGCAGCAATTACAGGCAGGAGATGCTGCTGGGAAGAGACACCAATACACTTCTCTCTAACATGCTGCAGCACATGCTGCTCAGTAATTAGACCAGCACACACACACACACAAAATAAAAAAATCACCAGCTGGAAATGCAAAGGAATGTGCTGAAACTTGTAACAGTTGTGAACAGTCACGGTATGGCTTAAGCATTTAGGAAACAGACTTTCTACTGGATCAACCTTGTTACAGCCACATCTCTGTTCACTTGTTAAGCAAGCAGGTAAGGTTGCATGTTGGGCATACCTGAGATATACAGTTCTTCATCATGCAACAAGTGGGCTGCACAGATTTACTGACCACCAGATTCCCAACCCAAGAGGTGCATTAACAGAGCAGGAGCTACCTCAGCCTCAGTGACGGATCACTGATAGCAAAGAGTACTGCTAGCTGCCTCAGTGGTGCACAATATCTGGGTCTATCTTGTATATTTTTCTTTGCAGAAAGCATGTTCAGTCTGAACACACCTCCTATGGCAAGTGTCTCAGTAAGTGCCTTCTGTCTGACTCTACATGATATTGGTATTTATTGAGGAGCCCAGCATCTTCCAACCAGACACATCTACTGTGGCTGTTGGAGGGCGCTTTGCCAGCCAAAAAAGCATCATAGCCCACTGTACTTTATTCAACAGTATCAGCGTGATCTGCCTGCTGACCTAAACGGCCCAGCAGGTGCACGGCACTTGTGCACACCTGAAATATTCAACAGCACAGAATAAGCACTGTTCCTTTGACAGAAGACTCCAGCTCAATGGAGGCACATTTACACAGGCATATCTGGAGTGCCTGGTAGAACTTTAAATATTTTAAAAGTTACAAATCTGAAGCTCTTTTTTTCTTGGATACTTAGTTGCCTCTGTAACAGCCTCTTGACTTGCAAATAGCTTACTTCTTTTTTTTTCCTTTGTTCCTTTGCTTCATATGCCAGACAACAGATGACATTGTTTCATCAGCTGAATGTTCCAGTGACGATGAAGATTTCATTGACTGTGAACCCAGTACAGGTAAGTCAGGTCAGTCTTCTTTTGCTTGCTTTCTGGTTTCATTTGCAAAAAACAATGCATACATATGTTTATATGTGTGTGAATGTATACATATATAATTATATATGTATATATATATGTGTGTATATGTGTGTATATATATATATTTATGTATATATACACTGTATATAAAATAAAAATATACAGCCAAGCATCAGATCCCATGGACTTGGCAGAAGCAAAACACAGATATGTTGTCTCTATTTGGTTTGTATAAAGTTGTTTGCAGAAACAGAAGTTACTTTACTGACAAAGTGAGAAAACAAAAATATCAATGTGGAGTGTGACGAATAATGGAGATTTGTGAAGTGGGGAGGGTGAACATTTGAAAAGCAGAAGAGAAACAAAAGTGAAGCAAAAATGGGTTATTAGCAATGTTTAATCTTTCTTAATTGCTCTGAAGATAGATGTTAAAGGTTACAGTTGTCCATGGGATTTTGAATACAGTTAACATGGTAATGTGTTTATACTAATTTTGTTTTCTGTGAGCCCAAAGAAATTGGGGAGCACCAAAACATAGTCCTAACATAACAAAATTAGTAGGAATTCTTGCCTTGTTATCTGCAGTGATGCTTCAAAATGTATCCATTAAAGAGTCAGAAGGACTGGCCATGTGGAACTGACTCAACTTCTCCCTTTCAGATACATTTTGATATATTGATGGCTTTTCTTTCTGGTGAGATATATGATGTGATATCCAGCAGGCAACTGCAGTCTATTTTATTTCTTACAGGCTTTTTCAAGTCTTCTTTTTTGAGGCTTGCCATGAGTTAAGCATTTCTATAATAGAGAACAGACATCATCGAATTTCTGTGTACATTTAAAATAAAAAGAGGGAGATTAGAATTTTTTGTCCTTAAAAGTGAAACATATAAATAGTTTAGGGGGGTTCTTCTGTTTGGCTTTGTTTTGTTTGTTTTTGCTTTGTTTTGTTTGGGATGATTTTTTTTCTTAAAAAAAATCCCAAGATAGTATTATAAATGTTCTGTTTCTAGTGTCCTGAAACCATTTGAGTAACACAATAATAACATTAAAATTCACCCAAGGCTAGTGCTTTCACATTTCTTTTCAATTCGTCATGCTGTACCTGCATTTTTGGTAGAACTTGGTCTTGCAGTAACCTGAGATTGGCATTGCCTTGTAGCTGGGAACTTCCGCTCATACTCTTGATTTCCTTGTGTGGCAGGGAAGGCAGTGACACAGTGACTGATGCTAACAGATAGCTCAGCCTGCTTCCCATCTCTTTTTTCATAGGTTTCTATGGGTTTTTCAAACTCCCCATCTGGAAGAGAAGCAGTCCAAATAATACTAGATTGTGAAGTATAAACAGTGTGGGGTACTGAGAGTTTAAGTAAAGGTAGTAATGAAATGCCAGCATAGTGATTATAATGGAAGTGAGGCATGAGATTAATAGGACCATGCTAAAAGAACTAATGTACCACAACTGATATGTAAGTGAATGGATAGAAGTCATTTCATTTAAGCTTCACTAACATGTCAAGACTTCTTTTTTTATTTATATTCTGATTGCCAGGTATTTCAATTAAAGGACAAAATGAGGTCTTTATCTGACTCCTCCTCTTGTACACTGTTGTCATTTTTGGTTCAGAAATCACAATTACTTCAATGGTTAGAAATTGTAATAGCAATATTCTTTCCAACTTGTGCTGCCAGTGGAAAAATCAAAGTTTAAGGAGAAATTTGGTAAAACAGGATGCTTAGCATGAAATTTCAGATTGCTGTAGAGCAACATTTCCAGACTAAAAATACCTCCTTCCTGACACAGTTAGAAATCTAATGCTACAAACAGGTACAAACTGGATTTGTAAAAATTACTTGCCTTTGAAAATCTTGCTAAACATTACAGTTGTCAGCTGTAAGTGCCTACAGACATTTGAATATCTGCTGTGTAAAATAATATGATTTGCTGAAAATCTTCAGAAGGTTCTCTCCTAAACTACTAGACATTCTTGCAAATTTCACCCAGTATCTTTTATTGCACCCTACTCCTCTTGCATAGGAAGCTGAAATTCATGAGCTACTGAAACCTGAATCTTTTCTTGGGAATTACTATCGCACTGAGAATAAAGGTTAGCTTGATTATACATAAAAATAAGTCTCCCAGATGGTCCTTGCTGATGAAGTCTGCACTTCCAGATTTTGAGTTTTCGTGCTCTCAGAAGCACTGGTGTACAGAGTCGCCAGAAGGAGGAAGAATATGCAGATCATTTTTGCATAAACTTAACACATTCCATCATAATAAGAAGGAAAAGTAACAGGTTTATGGTGCTTCTCATTTTCTTTGTCTAATTTATTGTCTGCATTCCCAGAGCATCCAGTGTCTGCAATACAGCCAGTATCAAAGCACTCACGCAGCCCATTCTGCTCTGGAGCACTAAAGCAATCTGAGCCGGCTTATCGAAATCCAGTGGTGCTGGCTTGGCTGAGCAGATATGTTTGCCTTTACACTTCACCAGCCAAGTCAGGATTCTGGTCAAATGCCAAGATCTGGTATTTAAATGTATATATCATGGAAAGAAAAGATCCAGATTATCCTGCTTGTATTTTCTAGTGTGTGGGTTTGGATTTTTTTGAACCTAATATTGTTGTGTTTGTTTTTTTTTTTAATTGGGCTCATTTGAAGTTGCTTCATCCTCTTCTGTTGATAGGTCACTGCCCTCTGGCTTGCCTGATCCCTTTTACAGCAAACTGAAAATTAAATGACCTAACCCAGCACAGTCTCCTTTTTGTTACTCTGATAATGTGTAGCTTTTAAAGCTCTTGAGTTTCTGCCAAACACCAGGACTTGGCCTTCTACCACCCTCAGTGCTACAGTCCAGTAATGCAAAGGTTACTGAACTCACTTCTGCAGCTGTGAGATATGGTGCATATCACTATGAACCTGCTGTGCAATAGCCAAGACAAGGGCAGCAGAGAATGTGGCCCTGGAAATCAGAAATTTTCAGATTTCATGTGGTCAGAATCAAATCCCAATGTCTAAACATATTACTTTGGTCCTGATCCTGAATCTGAGGTGGTACTCCACAGAATCTTTTTGAAGCCTTTGTGTTTGGGGTACTCAAATGCTGAAAATCATGTCCTCTTTGAAGCTAAATATCATATGAGAGACATTTGGCAAGATTATTTCCACTTAGTAATTACTATTGATTCACTGTTGAATCCCAGACCTGAATCTTTTAAGTATACGATCTGCATCTGAACACTTGTATCTCTTTAAAAGAAGCTGGTGTGAAGGTAATTTCCTCACTCTACTCCTTTCAGGATTTTCCAGGCTGGCTTGAGACATTCACTGGAGCAGACCTCCTACCACTTTTTGCCCCTTTTCCTAAAGTGATTTCTTTGGAGATATCTGTAGATCCACTTAAAAAGCAGCAGATATCTTAGGACCTTTCCTGAGTGAAGTAGCCAACAGATATCACCTGTACACACATATGTATGTATAAGGAATTATTTTAAGTGATGGCAATGACAGCTGCCATGCAAAACCCATTTGTATTTTATGTAATGCAAAAGAAACCATTGCATGTTCAGGGATAAAAAATACTTGCTATTCATCTTAATGCAAACAAGTCTAGATACCCTTATATCTCTAGATCTCCCAAAATGGCTTAATGTAAATGATATAGGGGGCATAAAACTTTTCATCTGCCCTGAAGAAGCATTTACTTAACAGTCAAGAGCAGTTCCTCTCTTGTCCCTATGGAAATGATGCTTGTCCCAGTACTAAAAAACTTGTGGCAAAAAGCTTCTTGTTTCTGCACCAGAAACATGATGGTTTTCCCTGGTTGAGTACAGAACTCTCTTCTGGTCTGTTTCAGGGAGATCCAAGGCTCAAATACTCAAGTTCTTCAAAGCTCAAGCTGGGGTCCTGAGATTGTGCTTTTGAACACAGCTCCATGATGGTGTTTTGGTCACTCAGCCACTCTCAGGGAATGAAAGATATGTAGGAAAATATCTTTATTCTGGAATAGGAAGCACTGTGCTATCACAAAGGAAGCAAGCATTTATCTCTTTCTAGTCAGATGAGGAGCACCCCTACAATCACATCTTACTGAGACTTCAAAGCCTTGAGGATTATAATTATGCTTTCCTGACAGCAACTGTTGCTGTCTCCTCATACCATTGCCCTTGTTTCTGTTAAGGATGCCCATTAATGCAGCACTCTGGCACCAGGCAGGCTGGATGCTGGTGGTCAGGCATCTGATTGGGATCACTGTACTGCTCAATACAGTGAGACCCAAACAGTCACCAATTAGCCTGAAGCCCATAATACAGCCTCTTGAAATGGTATATTAAGGTTTAATCCTAGCTCCCTGGCTTGACACATCCTGTGTTTCTTCCGTGGTACAGTTGCAAGTTTTCCCTTCCTATCAGTCCATCAATTTCTTATGTGATTTTTTTCCAGAAAAATTTAGTCTGTGTTTCCCAAAAAGCTTCATATATCATAATGCTGTCATTGTCTAATCAAACTGGTAAGCTTTTTCTATGAGACAGCGGCAGAGAAGCCAAAATCTACAATTCTTTGCACTGGAAATTACAGTGTTTTGTACACATACCCACACACAGGAGACACATACCCTACAGGTATGGTGTCTGTATCTATAATTTACTGGCCTGTACCCATCCACTTGCAGACTGTCTGGGTTAGAGATTCATTTGCAGAAAACAAGCAGAAACTCTTTTCCAAGAGTCTACAAACAACTAGTATAGTACAAAAACCAGGATGCTGAAAGTGAAGAAAATTGAAGAAATCAAGAGAAGTGCTGATTTGGCTGTTGTCCTCCATAGCTGCATCAATTCTTTAAGCACCTAGGGAATTTTCATTGCTCTTCTAAGAGAAACATCCAACACAATCCAGTGCCCAGTTACCCCCAGTCTCTCCCTCTGACAAGCAGGAGTTTTGCTCCATTTCTGATGTTGTGATCAAGAAATGGCATTTAAACTTACGTGCATGCCTCTGAGTACTCAGAGTAGTAGATTTCCCATCTCACAGGCTGAATTCCATATGGACCCAAAGGTGTCCCAGTGTGTAATAGAGTTACTTGTTTGATGGAATTTCCTAGCTACAATCTTACAGCCAAAACAAAACCAAACGAGCAAGTTTTACTAACCAATCATGCAGGTGACTTACAGGAATTTTGGTTTTCTTTTTTTTGTTTGTTTGTTTTTTCAGCATTAGGAATACTGAGATTGGTTTTCAGCATATTGGTCTTCCTTCCTATGTAAGGTCCAAAGGCCCCACCCATAAGGATATTTTACCTATATATGCACTATATATACAGTGTGCATATATGTCTATATGTCTATATGCTAAAGTAATAAATTGCCAATATCAGCAGTAGCCCCTATCATCCAATCACATGTTTACACAGAAATTCATGCCTTCATCTAACCCTGGCATTCGCTGGTGTGGACAGATGCATGATATTGTTATATCTTGGTGAACAAAGCACGTTAATTTCTTTTCTGTTAGAATTATTTCTTTCTTCCTTTTATTTATTTATTTACTTTTAATTGATAATTTCATCTACCAATTAGCCTTGGGGTAGGGTGGGGCAGGGAGAACAAAAAAATTATACAGGTATATCGATCGATATATACACACATACTCCGTGTATATATAGATAGATATATACATTGTATATATTTGAAGAACATTTTCTATCGTTTCACCTCATCTTGTGCCGCATGAATTTTTGGTGATTGATATTTTAGTTTATTTTATATTTCTTTCCCTTTTTTTTTCCTTTTTTGGCTCGTAATCGTGCCATACCGCTATTTTTTAATTTTTAAAATCATTGCTGTACTTCTCAATTTATATTTTTGGAGTTATTCCAATAAAATCATTATTTGATCATCTCAAGAATGAGATATAGATCTGCAAATAATAAAGGCAACAAAATCTTTTCTTGCCATCCTTGAGAAAACCAAATTTTTGGACATCCCAAGAAAGTTGTGTGCAAAAGAATGAAGAGTGTTACCCTTCCTTTATTCTTATTTTCCCTTCTCCCTACCTCTTTTAAACTTCTCCAAAATCTCTATCCCATTTTTTCCCTTTTCCCTTTTTTTTCAACTGAGTTAAGGAAAAAAATCACCCAGAAGAAAAACCTTTCCCTTTACCCCTGAGTTCTCCCAGGAAAAATTCTTCCAACATAAAGAGCCCTACAAACTGCAGATGGCATAAAAAGAATTTTATTGCAATGCAGAATGTCTGTTGTATCTTTTATTTCTGGGTCAGTGCAAAATCATTTTTCTGGCATGCTGTAGTTTAGCTGATGTAACTAACCATGGCCTTCATTAACCGGTGCATGGGCTGTGATGATGCCATCTTGTGTTCCATCAGAGCTACACATTCAGGCTAACCAAGCAAGTCTGTAGTGTATGATTTGGTGGGATATAATTTTGATTTTAATTTGCATTATAATTTATTCTTTTTGGAAGAGTTATGCCAGTACCGTCGGTTGCTTCTTGCAGCCTCAGAGTTATATATCTACTTTGTTTTATGGGGTTTTTTTCTCTTTTTTTTATTTCTCAAGTAGCAATTTTGCGTCTTCTTTGTGTTCATCTGTCATGTCACTGTGTCTTGGAGTCCACTGGCCCAGTGTTGTTATGTGATTCTGTTCTCTGTTCGTAAGCTGGTGTTCAGCTCCTCAGCACTCTTGTCATACCTCTTCCCTTTCCCCTTCCCTCTTCCCCTCCTCACCTGCCCGAGGGGGATCCACAAAGAGGCACCAAGCTTTGAATGACATTCTGAGTGTCTCCCCGTGGCTTCAAGATGAATGTTGCAAGATGTCCACACAGCTTCATAAGAAAAACCAAGTTTGCAGCTGTTCTGTTTTCAATAGTTTTCAAACTCTGTTATCATTTCACTCCTAGAAGTGCCTTACTGGCATAATGCTAAAGTGACTTCTTTTGCAGCTTTTTAGAGGATTTGTATGTACATGCTGATGTGTTGGAGTAAGAACTTCTCTTATCTGTGCTCTAGGTGCCAGACAATGCTACACAGAGTGCAGGCTATGTTAAATGGGATATACCTAGGCATTTTTATAAAAGACAGTGTTAGAAAGGGAATATCACCGTGCATCTGCTGCTGAAATGATATCTCTGTGAATATTTTTTTAAAATTTACAGTTCATAGTTCATTTGTAGGTAGGAGACAAAAATCTAGGAACGTACTTAAGATTTCTAGGAGTAGTGCATCTTCACTCTGTGGGGTCAGTCTTCTGTTTGTCGCTGGGTGATGTCTGCCTCTCACTGATACTGGTGAAAAGTGCTTGCTGATGTTTACTTGTATAACTTGAACACAACTGTGGAAACACATCTGGAGTGTCTTCTGCCATATGCGTCATAAATGTGCAATAATGTACAAGGCAGAAGAAAACAAGCTGAGTTTTCAGGTGTCTGCTTAGACTTGAAACACTATTTAGAAAAAATATTGTTTGGCTTCTACAGTAGTGCATTTCCTGGTATCCTTAATTCAGTCCCTGTTGAAGGTACTAGCTACATTAATGGCATATATCTTTACATCTATCTTTAGCCTAGCTAAAATTCCAGTTGTTTTGCAGGAATTAGTTTGTTCTGAAGAGAAGATGAGATGATGAAATCTATAAACTTTTTTCACAAGAGCATGATTTAAGACTTACCTGTTTAAGATAAGAGTTACCAGAAGAGGGAAGTGAAGGGACATGTTCAAGTCTCCAACATGGAATTATTTAATTATTTCATTTAACTTAACCGAGATATGTTTCTTGTACTTGCAGAGAGATAAAAAGAAGATAGCTTTTCTTTCACCAGTGGGAACCAATGATCTTATGCTCAGTTCAGTTTTCTTAATTCATATATAGCCTGAGAAACATTACTGAGTGAAGTTATTAAATGAATCAATATTTAAAGCTTGGCTGGTTTAGATTTTAGATCTCTGTGTTTTTCACAACTAATAATTCCTACTGAATCTAAAACTTTTTCTTGGCAATTGCTTAAATAGAGCAACTGCTTATAAAATTGTATTATAATCAACAAGCTCATAGTTTTGTGTAATACTGCCCTCTGGCAGAGAGACCAGAACAGTCCTATTATGAGACTAAACAGCAAGAGAACCATTTTTTTAGCTCAAGTGGCAGGTTATTGGAGCAGAACAATCAGAGTTTTAGCCCCCTGCATGATGAAGTTCAGGGTAACCTTCAGATTGGAGTATTGTGATGAATAAATCAAGTGTCTGGGTGTCAGGACAGTAAGCTTCAGGCTGTGTCCTGCTGAATGGTGACTTTTGCTTGCCTTAGGTAGCCTGTGACTAGCCTCTGCTAAGGCTCTGACTATCCTTCTGGTGCAGGGAATGAGAGGCTCACTCAGGTGCAGGGGATGCTGTGGAAGGTCCCACTGTGCTCTGTTTTATCCCACTGAAGATCTGTATGGATATCTGGCACTTGTAAAATTTGTTCTTACTTTTGTTTTCTGTCTCATGGCAGACTGTTGGCTTCAGCTTTTGTGACCTTTGTTACTGAGCAAGGGGAAGAGCTGAGGGTTCAGTTGTTTAGGCCAAGAATAAAAACACTGAACTCTGGTGTGCCACTTCCAACTTTGTGGTTGATTCCTTCTGTGACTCTGTATGTATATTGTTCATTTGCCTACCTGTAAGGCAGGGTAAATGAAATACTTCTAACTAAATGAGGTGGAGATGAAGGGAAAGGAGATTTAATCAGTATTTTAACGGACTCTGATATTCAGGTGCAAAGTGCTGTTCAACACACCAAAATTGTATAGTACTGCTAAGTACCAAAATAAACAATATTATTGTTTAGGTTTTAATACTATCTTCACTTGCTGTGAGAATTAATATTATTGCGTATTTTTATACAGTAAGTACAACTGCTGATCTGCTACTACAGTGAGGGATGCAAAAGTCAAGTATTTTCATGTCAGGGATCTCTGGTGTGACATTATTTTCATTAAATATTACTCTTACCTCTAGAATTAACACATGCAATGGAATGAACCATGCTCAGGCTACATAATTTAATGTCATGAGTGCACAGCAATACAGAGATCTTTCATATCAGCATTTACATCACTTGGACTTGGCTCCTGATCAGAATTTCGCTTTAAAAACGTCATAGTTTCTCCAGCCTAACTTAGCTGGTGTTAAGTTTCCCTGGTTTTGCGTTTAAGATCAGAATCAGACCCACAGTCTGGCTACCTTGCCCTTGCTGCCTTCCAGTCTTTTTTTAAAGCGTGTTCTCTAAACTCAAAGCCATGTGCGCTGTCACATTCTGGCAATCCCTCTAGTGCTGTGCCTATGTTATCAAGCTGACACATGTCTAAAATACTAAGATATGATATTTTCAACCTGCTGGGACTTGCTTTTTGTCCCTGTTAGCTTTGATTTTCAGCTTCATAAAATATACGGGAAAGAAAATAAAAATAGCCAATGACACATTCAGTGGAAAGAAAAGCTAGCACATGACTCAGGAAAAGATTTTGCATCAAAAGCAAATGTATGTATATTAGACCCTTAAATATCTATGGCAACTGATTAGTTACCTTCCAACAAGAAGAAACTATTTGATTTCTGAAAGATATATAATATCTGTTAGAGAGAAAATGTGTTGAACATTTACAAATACTAGGGACAGAGATACACTTTTGCTCCTTAAGGTTTGTATTATGTATTTCTTTTGGTCAGCATGCCTAGACCTGAGGGACCCTTAAAGGTGCTCTCAAGGTACTGCTGGTCACATGAACTATAACACCTGGAATAATACCTCTGTAGAGCAGGCAAACATACTCTACCTTCATTTTCAACCCAAGTATATAATGAGATACAAAAGTTAATAATGATATCAAGGAGGTTATTACTTTGCCTTCCTTCTGCTTATTTCAGATCCAATTTATTATTCACAAGTGCTAGAAATCTGTGCTTTATCCCAGCTGTAAGCAGCTGGAAACACCTAGGTAATGTGAAGTGTAGTATTTCTTTAATACTACTTACCTTAAATGCTGTGTGAGGAGCAGGAAACAAAGACCATACCAGTTTTGAAACTAGGTATCGAAGCACAACAAACAAAAACAAATTAGACTGACTTGCTTTGAAATCTTAGATGTCTACTAATTTGGGAACCCATTTTATTCTGCATTTTCATTATGCTAATAAATACATTATTAAAACCTTACAAAAGAGCCACAATCAAGGACTTTCTTTTTTTGCTTCTGTTGAGTCTCATAAAAACTGAAGTTCTCTGGTCCCATGAGGTGATGTTATAAGGATCATCAGCTCCTCTTTTGGCATGTAGGAGGAACTAGAACTAGTAGACAGACAAAGGTACAGAACCTCAAAGTAAACTTATTTTAGAGTAACAAGAAAATCCCAACAATTTTATCTCTTCATAGGTTTCACTCCATCTCAGTGTCAGAGGCATCAAAAAGAGGGAAAAGTTGTTTTTTCTTTGAGGGACAGCAGAAATGCACAGCAATTGTGTGTGTGTGTGGGTGTTCCATTTTTTTTTTTAAAGATGTGAATTTTGTTTTCCTAATACTGAAACCAGTATGACAGGTTTTAGATACTAGTTTTAGCAACTACTAATTTTAAGTGCTGAAATCTTGGGGGCTTCATAAATTTTATGTTTGACAAATGAAAAGAGCAAAAATAGTCCTGTAAACAGTTCAGGGTATTTCCCAGTGTATCAAAGTATAATTTTAGTTCCTTCTCCTAACCTCTTTCTGTGCAGTAACAAGTCTACTGTGGAGTGCCTGGAGATCGGTATTTCCCCTAGAATCTATAATTCTCCTGTGTGCTGATTTTTTTAGTGCTAACACACAGATCATTAATATGTTGCAAAACCTGTGTATGCATGCATACTCTGTCTTGGTACATGTGCATATATTTATACATCTATTAATGCCATATTTATGTTCTGGCTAAAAGAAACATTTTGGGGAACTGAAATAGAATAAAATTGTTTAGGAGCTTTACAAGCAAATGTGGAACAAATAGATTGAATCTTACCTCCTCCTCTTTCTCATACTCCTTTTCAATTCGGTTAATTCAAACCTTTGGCTTTTGTCTAACTCAGAAAGCAGGTAGTTCATCCCAGCATTTGGGGGAGGTGTTTTGAGAGTGAAGGCAAGTGTGACTGTCAGAATTGAGATCTAGGCACAGTCTGAAATAGAAGACCTCCAGCACGCATCTGAACTTGCAGCACGGAGGTGCCTTTGGTGAGATTCTGAATCATTTGCCTCTGTCAGGGTATTGGGGATTGTCACAAACCTGTGGCAAGGATTAAAGAAGGTTTGACAGCTGGAGAGAAAGTCAGTGCAATGGGAGTATGTGATGTAACTGAAACTGAATAAAGTACTCTTTTGTGCAGTAAACTGGACATACTACTAGATCTTTCTTATTCCTTTAGCTGATGGATAGCATTCTCCTGCAACACTGTAAATCATGAGCAATCCTCTCGTAGAAATCACCAAAAATTAGTCTGGGGGCACTTTGGGGGTCTTTGATGGTTTATGTCCCCTTCTAAGGCAAGACTGGTTTCTTGGGCCTGCTAGTTGAGCCAATTGTGCCTTACTGAAAAGGATGGATACCTTCAGGCTTAGCATGAATGTCCCAACACCTCCTCCGAGGGAGGCGGAGGGGAGAAGGAGGAGGGGGTGAGTTTTACACCTCAGCTTCATCGGAGGGAGGACATTGGCATGATAAAAGGCCAATGTCCTCATACTTTGCAGGATCTGTTTCTTAATCTGTTTCTTATAATCCTTTTTCCTTATCTGACTCAAACTCCAACTTGCTGCTAAACAAAGGCTGGTTTGTCGTGATCATCGTCCAGTGGTGGGTGTGCACCCCCTCTGCCCCTGGGCTGTTCTTATGCAGATCAGCGGTTTCACCACCACACACTCAAAACCTCTCCTCCCCCTCGGACGGGGGCTGCTAACTTGGCCTCAGCAAGGCACCTGCTGCTTCTGCAAAAGATGGATTGTTTAAATCATTAACTTCTAACATTTCCATTTCTCACACCCTTTACTTCGTATGCTTAAACATGCATCGTAAGCCCAAAAGGAATTCAGAGACTGGAAGGTAGTTGAAGGTGTTCATGCCCTAGTTATTTTTATTTTTTTTTTATAAAAACTTAAGATGTGGTGCTGGCAAAGTACTGTAGGAATTCCGTCTAATTTATTCCTAACTCTCTGTGTCATATCCAAAACAAGAAAATGTTATTTAACTCCTAAAATGCAAAATTCAACTTTTGCCATACAGTGCTTTTTCATTTTGAAATTGATACCAAAAAAAAAAAAAAAAAAAATTGCATTCTATCAAAGTGTCTAATTACAAAACAAAGTAGAAAGTGTTGAAGTATTGTGTGGGGACACTACATTTGTCTTTTTTTTTTCATTTTTGAAAATATGACTAGTAACTTTCACCTGTAAATAACTTGAGGGCTTCTTACTACTTCTCTTCAGTTTTTCACCTTTTTTCCTCCCTGTTAGGTTTTTCAGAACATTAAGCTGTACTTTTCTCTATAGGAAACATCTATCACTAACTCTGTATGAATTGTGTTAGAAGACTAAAACCTTTGATTACATTTATCATAGGAGCTGAGCCAGTATTTTTCAAAATCTTCAATTGGTTTGTTCACAGTTTTTCCTTGTATTTTGAATAGCAATGGTAAAGTCCATCCCTGAAGCTGTGTGATCTTTTCCACATATGGTGTTTTCCAAATCCATCACTTTTCCCTTGGAAAGAAAAAGCAAACAAAAATTGTTTTGGATAGAGAGGAAAAAAAGTCTCCTTCACTAAGATGATATTTTTAGAAACAGATGGTAAAACAAACTGCAGATGTTGTGCCTGCAGCACCTCTATTCTAATAACAGGATTGTTTAAAGATGAAAGCAGCCATTTGTGTGCCTAGCTCACTCTGTTAGTAGTAATTCTTCCTCCATGCAGGAAGAGTTGGAAAACCTGGTGCAGTATTTTTTTCCCTATCTTGCCTCCTCTGGAAAGGTATTTACACAGTTCTCTGCTAAAGAATGAGTGTTCTGGTAGTGCAGTCTATAGCAAATGAAAAGACCTGATAGTTTAGGAAAGATGAATCTCAGTCATCTATACCTCATTTACTAGTAGATATTTTTTTGTCCTGAAGACTTTTTTTCTTTGCCTCCCAGATGACCTTTCCTTCCTGATGAGAAGCTGCAGGTTTTCCGTTGGCCTGTCTCATAGCTGGCAAATGTCCAAGCACAAGCTGCCTATTCAGATAGTTTAAGAAATTTTTAAGACCTGCCAGGCTTGGCAGTCCTCAAATAAGAACACTACATTTACACAAATATTTAGAGTATCCTGAGGAGTTTGAGCAGTTTTGTTTCTTTTTCCACACTGAAAATTGCTTAGCTTCCATTAAAGCTAATTAATTAGGAGTCTGAACAGCAAATGAGGTAAAAGCCATTTGGACTACTGTAAAAGCAGACTTTTAATGAAGGCCCAGCTTTATGGTGTTCTATTGATACTTACTGCTTTTGCCTTAAAATCCCTATAAAAGCAATATTGTTTATTGTATTTTATTGGGATTTAATCTCGGATGCCAGCTGCACATTCAACATGCTTATTTAAAATGAATTTTAGTAATTAGATCTTGGGGATGGCTGCATCTGTGAATGTCCAATAGCTCTGACACTGTTTTATAGCTATATTGCCATAATTTTTCCAGCAGCTAAGAGGAGCTTTGTGGATATTAGAGCAGCTGAGCATTTGCTTAAAAAATCTAAATTTTAGACTTACACACTGACGAGAGATAGTTAATCCTTTTGTGGACCAGGCCTTTAAGGTCTGTCTGAATGCAGGACTTGAAATAAGATCTTAGAGTCTTAATTCATCTTTCACTTTCTAACCTCAGTAATCTCTCCTTCATTTTTAAACAAAAGCTGCATTTTGATCCTGCAGATTTCTTAAACCTTCTCTGTCAGGTACACACACCAGGAGGTCATTTTTCTCAGGATACAGCCATGTTAGGGCAATGACAACTTTTACTGTGGTGTGTCATACTGCATAAATTTTCTTTTTCAGGGAGATTTCAGCAAATGCAAACCAAGACAATAGAGCTATCTACAGTGAAGTTAAAGATTTTAGACATCAGCTTAGAGCAATGATTGTTGTTCCTTGTTGAACAGCAGCTCTTTATCAGTTTTCTCTTTTGTTTTGTCTTGTGCTATTATGGTAATGAAATGCATAGAACTGTACACATCATTTCAGGGGTAGTACTGACAAAGCCACTGTTATCTCTGGGCTCCATTACAGTGGAGCCTCTGCTAATACACGTCCTGAGTTCTGAATGTAGCTGGGAAGCTTAATAAACATAGAGAACTGGTGTGGTGGAAAGAGATTCTTTGCAAGAAAGGATTAAGGGATGACAAATGCAGTTTCATTTTATAAAATCCAATAAATTGGAGTGTTGTGTCTCTGACTGGAGCACTGGGAAAGGTGCTGGAAATAGAAAGTAAGGGAAATATATTTATTTATATATGTGGGTTTATAAACATATATTTATGTCTGTGTAATACATAGTACATATATATGTGTGTAAGTGTACATATATATAAAAACCCGTAGGTATTATTTAGTTAAGTAATATGATGACAGATTTCTAATAGTTGTATCAAATATCTTAGGTTTGAAAACAGAGTGCTGGTAATATCCTGTACTTGTCTGCAGGAGATGGACTGCGTATCATATTTCAGGTCTCTCTGATTCTACTGTAAGAAATTGTGCACATGCTCTAGCTCTCATCTGCTGCTAATTTAAGTTAGCAATAATGCATATAAGCATTATTATCAGTGTAAAACTGCTGCAGGTGTGTTGCAAATCATGCTCTTAAGTTTCAAATGTAGGATTGGTTGCCAGAACTGAGCATGAAATCAGAAAGAGTGAGTTAGGAAATTTGTTGCATATATTAAAAAAAAAATAAATAAATCCTATGTACAAGGAATTCCTGGGAGACTATGTTTGGTAATAGGCTTAAAATACCAACTGCAGAACTTTTCCACCACATTCCTTACTTGTTTATAACTCTATTCCAAACCTTTTGTTCAGAGCATTTATGAACGGGACGTTGATTTTTCTTTTGGAAAAGGAAGCAGTCAACACTTGAATCTCCATAGCAGCTTGGAATTTGGATGCAAATTAAATACTTTCAGAGTAAAAAAAATTCAAAAAATTGTATGTAGATTCCTGTGTATATGCTTGTGCTTGCATATTTGCTAATTATATTAACCACATGGCTGAAGAAACTGGCAGCCTGATGAGATGTTGAGTGACTTAGGATTAATGAAAGTAGAAAGTATTTAGCAGTTTATAGTATTAGGGCTAAATTTATATAGTTATATGTGGAAAAAAAACACCAACTCACTATATAGAGTTAGCTAGACCTTAAATCACAGTCTGGAAAAAAAAGTCTAGATGATTTAACATATAGGAGAGACTTTAGCTGGAATGTTTCAAAGCTCATCTGTCAAGTACAACAGCTTATTTTTAAAAGATACATATCATCTACATTTTTTACTGTATTTCGTTACAATGCTCTACTTTATTCTACACAGTTTGAATACATAAGAAATACCTGTTGGTTTTCTGAGATCAGGTAGCTTCTGACTTTCACTTACTTTTTTTGAGCCCAGTTGATGCATCTGTACTCTGCACATTAGTATTCTTGAAAGAAGCAGAGATAAACCCTCCTTTTGCTCAGAAAATATGATGTGTCTTTAAGTCATTGCAACTTCCATTATTATTTCTGCACTTGATAGTGTTCTGGATCTTCTTGTTCTTATCTGACAGAGTACCCAGCCTTATATGTCAGGTAAGGTGTTTGACCAGTAATGTACTGTTAGGACTTCAGTAGCATTGTTTATCTCAGATTTGAAAAGTAGTTTGCAGGTATTTAGTAAGAATGATGAATGCTATTCTTTGCACGTCAGAATTATTGTAATCAGGTTAGAAGGATGCTTCCTTAGTTGACTCACTAACAAGCTTGAGTGGAGAGAAACGTGGAGAGATGCATGGAGAAAAGTATTTGTAGGGCATGCAACCGTTGCAGAGGTGGAAGGCAGATAAATTACTGTTGAGTTTAAAAGAAGAATTTCAGTAATAAAGGAGAGGAAATGTTTCTGAATAAAACTGGTTTTTTAATTATGAAAATCCTTAATTTTTAAAGCAAAGGGAATAATTTCACCCATAGCTATATCTGAATGCTGTAAATGAGCAAACAAAAAGCCTTTCCTCCTGTTCACTGATATGTGTATTTTCTTCTAGGGTCAGTCCACTGATTTTTAATGGTTTTGTATCCTGATGCTCCCTATAGAGCTCACGCAGTGCTAGGGTTAGGGGATAGGTTCCAGTGTGTTTCTCACTTCTCTTGTGGAGTCATTTACCTACACCAGTTTAAAAGTTCAGTCAGTCATATTTCTGTAAAGTTACTGAAGGCAACAGGGAAGCTACAAGGTGTGTGAGGGCATACATCTTTCCTTATGAGTGATGATAGGAGACCTGAACTCATTTCTTAGATCCCAAACTTGGTTTGGCAGTGAGTTGGTATGAAGAATATCTTTGGATTTGGAATAGATCAGATATTTTTCAAATTGGAAAGCCATCCACTGAGGCATAATAAGCAGGAAACACCATGGCAGAGTTTTTGAAGTGGAATGTATTTTTCTAAGTGAAAGTTGAGGCTGAGGAAAGAGCAGAAATTAGGTGGGTTTTTCTAGTTAACTCCATTTTCTGCCTCCCTACCCATGAAGAGAGAGCACATACAGGCTTATCTCAAAGCTTAGTGCTTCTGTGCTGAATTCTTCTCTTTATTGCTATATGTTTGAATTGCCAGTTGGTTCCCTTTCTCTGTATTTTTCAGCTGAGGTTACCACTACTAACCTACCAGAGAGTGAAATAAGACAATAATAAGGAACTGTGATGGAGATACAATGCGGCAATGGCAATTTATGATTTGGCTTCTGGCATGCTTCTATTTTGATGAATAACTCAATGCAGTGGAAGGTTGTGAAAAGAAGCCACTTTGCATTAACACTTAAATTTACCGTGAAAGACTAACAAGAATTGTTTAGGCACTGGAAATAACACGCAAATCTGCCGGTTCTTCTCCACCATAATCTTGGTTCATGTGCCTGTTCCCATTTAGTGTCCTTTGCAAAAGGCAAGCAAGGACCTAGATGGCTCAAGTGTTTATAATGAGTCTGTTGAGGGTGAAGGGTTTCTTATAACTTCAAAACAGTGCTGTCCATTAATACCCTAATAAGCCAGAAAATCACAGGGCACTAAGGTTAGAATTTGAACATCTTTTTATTTCATTCACAGAGTTCAAAGCTGCAAGTTTTGCCCTTAGCATAATTGCCCAAATAAAGTGTTTGTTCTATTAACATAATATTTCCATTTCCATCTCTTTCTTGATTGTGCTTAAGACCATCAATTAGAATAAAAATATGAATAGAAATAATTATTTCATCAGAAAAATAATTCTGCATGAGAAAATTTTGTGGCTCATACAGATAAAGGAAATTAGAGGCTATAAGAAAGTAATAGACTTTCCTATTAAAATCTGACCATATAACGTCTTACTTCATAGCAGAGGAAAGCCTAATACGATAAGATTTTTTTAGCTTCTTTTAATTAACTTTCCATCCTATTAGACTTGATCTGCAGTTAACTTTCATTTCACAGGTATTCATGATTGTTATGCTCCTGTGAATTACTAAACCATGAAGCTCAGACATGATGGTTAATAACTATGCAAAGTAATCTTTTAGTTGATTTTTCTAACAGTGACCCTAAAATTTAAGTGTAAATGCTTCAAGTAATACAGTAAGCAGTAATATGGAAAATATATTCAAGCGTATGACTATATATCTCTTTAAATAGTGATTCCACAGCAATCTGATCTGCCCTGGTCTATGAATATTAACTGTTGGTTTGAAAAAATACCAAAACCACACAACGAACCCCCACATTTTGAAAGGTAGTGCTCCGACTTCTTTAACGGAGAAAACAATTAAAAATTTGGGATAGTGAGATATAAGTTATCATGGTGTGAAGACAAGGGAGAAAGGACACCAAAGACACCTTAAGCAGAAATAATTAATAGCAGAAAGCAGTCATCCTGATTTTTTGTTCAAAAAGCTCTTAAAATCTGTATGAACCTAAATATTCTGGTGTTCATCTCCTCAGCTTTAGCTATGGACATACTACCTGTGGTTCTGAAATAGATACAAGTATCACCGTTATAGAATGATAGAATGGTTTGGGTTGGGAGGGACCCCAAAGATCATCTAGATCCAACCCCCTCACCATGGGTGGGGACCTGCTCTTTCCAGTAGAGCAGGTTGCTCAGGGCTCAATGCAGCTTGGCCCTGAACACTTTCAGGGATGGGGCATCCATTACTTCTCTGGGAAACCTGTTCCAGTGCCTCACCACTTTCACAAGTAACAAGTTTCTTCCGAATGTCTAATCTAAACATACTTTGTTTCAGTTCAGAGCCCTTGTCCTATCATTACATGTCCTTATAAGAAGTTCCTCTCCAGATTTCTTGTAGGCTCCTTTCAGGTACAGGAACTCCCAGGAGTTCCTCCCTGTAGTTCCTCCCAGGAGTTACTCCCTGTAAGGTCTCCTAGGAGCCATCTCTTCTCTAGTCTGAACAGCCCCAACTCTCTTAGCCTTTCCTTATAGGAGAGGTGCTCTAGGCCTCAGTTCTGTGGCTGTCCTATGGAATTGCTTCAAGAGGTCCATGACCTTCTTATATTGGGGGCCTCAGATATTAATATCATCGATATTAAAGTAAGTTAACTTTTGGAATGAGATCTATTTCTCTTCTAATCCAATCTTTTATGAAAGCAGAGCAAATACCCTTCCCAGCCACTTTCTTGCTATAATGCAACCTCTGATAAACAGCTTAAAGCATTGGCTTCTGAATCACAGTAGAGTTTATTCCAGTCATTCAGTATGTTCAAAAAGAGGATTCAAACTTGCCTGCAGCAGTCTTTCACTGCTGTAATCCTGAACTTTCAGAAGGAAATTTGCAAAAACGGCACGCTTTCTTTATGCGTCTGCTCTTCATGGTTAGTATTAAACTTGCCTGTAAAAACAAACAAGAAGTCCTGCCAAAAATCCATCCCCAAATGCCTGAATCACAGCACTATCCCCTCTTGTCTTTTCCAAATGATAGACAGAACTAGCTCACATATAGAAAGCTCCTTTACAAAGGGCTCCCCTGCAGTGCTTCAGAGCTGCAGAGAGCTCATATGTTAGTTAGCTCTATTGTACGTCTGATGCAGTTACAAGCACTGCCTAGTAGGAAAACTGACGTCAAAGCACAGATTAAATAGTAATTTCCCATTCTGTCTCCAAACACCTCTGCTTGAGGTCTCAAGGGGATTCTATTGCATTTAAACATTATTACTATCAAAAGGAAAGAGCGTCTCACATCCTCTGAACTGTTGTGAGAGAACATCACCTAACATACTACTCAAAAGGTTGTCATTCCATTTTTTTCTTTCCAGAGGAAGAGTTGTGGCTACATTTGTTTACGTATACTCATTACTGTGGTTTCTACGTAGGATTTTCTACCGCTTCGTAATGGTAATTTGGTAGAAGAAGCCAGCAGTCTACTTAGTAGTGAACTCCTCATCACCGAAACTCTCTTACATTACAGTTTTCTTCTACAGGTTACTGGGTATTAAAGCCTTGGTGTATCCAACATCAGCTCATCTTGCTGATGGGGAACTTGGCTTAGCCTTTTAGGATGGCTGTGAAGCAACCTTTGTATTAACTCTGAGGAATATTTTGGCTTGTTCTTGGCTGAGGAGGAGGAGACTGAAGTCCTGGAGTCCCAGGACTTGATTTTGGATTCCCAAAGACTTGTTGTAGCATAAGGAAAATAACATTATGAGCAGGGCTGTGCTGCTGGATTAGCCATCATTTGGAACATGAGTTAATAAGAGTCCCTGATTTATTGCAGTTTTTCTACGTGTGCTAGAATAGGTCATTTCGGTTCTTTACTTTTACATCTCAATTACTCTAGGAGGGAATGTAAAAGTGCTCAAACTCAGTAGAAGACGACGAGCCCTATCATAACCCTTATCATTCCCTTTGATTAGTAAAAGAAATAAGTTTAGTTGTGAAGACACAGGTAAATGAATCTTGTTCAAAGCCTACTGGAATAAGCTTCTTCCCAACCATTACACTGTAAATTCTCTTGACTCTACATTTTACCAGGAAATGCTGAAAAGGCAATAATGCCAAAAAGACATAAATCCAACTTATATTCATTCATAAACATCCCTATTTTCTTCTACAGCTTGCTAAACACTTTCCTTGGTACAGTGTGTACACTGTTAAAGGTCCTTGTTAAAGGCCTGTAATAGTACTGATTCCCATGTACCCTCAAGAATAAGGTATAGCTGCATCAGTGAAGAGACTTCTAAAGTGGAATCCTTTCAATCTTGAATGTCTTCCAGAGTTATAAGTAATTCCTGGGATGATCCTGGATTATTCAGCCATCCAAGAGGTAGACAACACTTTTCTTTCTGAGCTTGTGCTTTGCTTGATTTTTTTTACAACTCCAAGATAAAAACCACAATAGCTATCTCTGGATAAAACCTGCAAATGCAGGTTCTTCCCAGCATTGATTTACGTCTCTAAGAGGAACGGGAAATGCTAAAAGAAGAGGGCTTATTGAAGGCAGAACTAGAATCACTACTTTGCCATCAGAACTGAAGTTTAAGTTCATTACAAGAGAAACCTTTTGCCAGTAAGTCTACTATGCTCTGGATCCATCCCTCACAAAGCAAGGGAGGAAGGCCTATCCACTGAGTTACTTCCAGCTGGACTAGCTGCAGATTCTGAGAATGCAATGTCCTTGTGCTTACTTAGGGGTTAATTAGATTACTTTGTAGGATCTTTCAACAGAAATGGCACATGTAACCTAGTATCCAAGTGATTAAAAATATTGCACTGAAAATGAGTCCTGTCACCTTTCAGGTGGTTGTAGAGAGCAACAAGATCTCCTCTGAGCCTCCTTTTCTCCAGGCAAAACTACCTCAGCCGCTCCTCATATGACTTACACTCTAAACTCTCCCCCAGCTCCATTGCCCCTCTCTGGACTTGCTTCACCACCTCAGTGTCTGTCTTGCAATGGTGGGCCCAGAACTGGACACAGCACTCCAGGTGTGGCCTCACCAGTGCCAAGTACAGAGGGACGATCACTGCCCTGGTACTGCTGGCCACACTGTTTCTGATGCAGACTAGGATGCTACTGGCCTTCTTGGCGACCTGAGCACTCTGCTGGCTCAGCTTCATCCAGCTGTCAAGCAGCACCCACAGGTCCTTCTCTGCTAGGCTGCTTCCAGCCACTCTACCCCATGCTTGGGTCATGGGTTCTTATGACCCAAGTGCAGAACCCAGCACTTGACCTTGCTGAACTTCATACAGTTGATCTCAGCCTACTGATCCAACCGTACAACAGCATATGGTTTCTTGGGATGCAACTAATAAGAAGGGATGTGGTAGTCATGAAGCATCTACTAGCATTTGGACAAACTGTTGACATGTATTTTTACCTACTTCATAGCTGTATACTGAAGAAAGGAAGATATACTAATATAACCTTGCTGCTCTGTGTTTGCAGATTATCAGAAAACTATATACATTTCAGTATACCATAAATATGCAGTTTGGCTAGTATTCCTGCTCCCACTCAAATTATTGGATGACACTATGCTACTGAGTTTGTCAGAATGAGAATCTGGTTTGTGGTTCCAAAATCCCTCAGGATTCTGAAAGACTTTGTTCCATGTCTGGAATGACTTTTAGGATTAAATAAATTTGGCTTTACATAAAAAGAGCCCTAGCTGGGCTGACTACAAATATCAGTCTTGAGTCTTTCAAAAACCACATCAGGTCTTTCTTATGGGAGACAGATACAGCTGAGCAGAGATGCATGGGAAGAATGCTTTCGGGCCAGTGATATTGGATGGGCTGCTTAACACTGGAAGCATCAAATATTCTTTGATTTGGAGGACTGTGGAAAGATAATAAGCTTATGGCAAACACCTGAAAAATTCTTTACTTTAGAGAGCTGTGGTAGTTTAGCCCTATAATTTCCTTAGCTTCGATAACTGTAAATGTGCTTTCATATTTGATGATAGTTTCCTAGCTAATTTCTATAAAGAAGCCTCATTAATTAACTCTTACACACAAACCCAAGCAAAATGTCGTGTTGGACTTTGTCAGTCGTGCTCATGTAGACATTCTTTCTATAGATTGCTTTTTATTTCTGAGCTTCACATGGGTTTATAATGAGAGAGCTTTTTGCCAGTACAAACAGCTGGTGCAAGGAAAGTGATATAACTAATTTATCTTCTTAGGCTCTTCCTATCTTCCAGTGTTTTGTACTGTACCAGCTGATTCAATACACTTCTCTTGCAGTTTAAGTTAGTGTGGATAGTTGATGGGAATCACAGGAAGAGATTTTTATTCTGAGTTGGGGGTAGGGATGAGGGTATGCTTTTAAAATTAGTATTTTAGTCCTATTAATCTATAAGCTATTTGTTATTTGTGGTGTGCTAAGCATTCATTTGGCTAGATGTCTGAAAAATACTACTCTAAGAAAGGTTAAAAGCATACAAGGATGAACAGGTTGTTTTGGAAGCTAGTACAGGAAGCTTATAAAGCCTTGATAGTACAGATGCTTTTACTCCCAGTCCTTCAATCTACTTTAAGCTTATGAAAATAAAATAAAGCTGCAATGGTTATGCTTTTTAATCTTTGTTTTTCTGAAGAATAATTTTCTAAATGTTAAGTAATAAAATACTGTCTTGTAGTTTTATGTGGAAGCATTCAGGATTCAATTTTCAAATTAGGACATCTAGGTTTTACTATTAACAGCTAGAAATTTTTTTAAAAAATGAAGGAGGTATTCCCAGCCTCAGCAGAAATTGCTGGACCAAGATTTTCCAAAGACCTCTGCTTCTATTCAAGCACCTCTGAATTGAACAAGTAAAGAAAAAATTTCTTATCACCCTTAAAATCCCCTTATAACTATAACATCAAGATTTCCTTTACAAAATCTTGTCATTTTTTTAAGTGTCTCTGGCTCCAGCTGTGGTTCTTTAGCTCTTTTGATCTTCCAGGCAGTAAAAGTCTTTTCCAGACCCTCATGCAACGAGTTAGGCATTTATTGTCAAATAGAGCATAAGTATTTTCTGGAGTGGCCTGACACAGACTGCACAGTTGGCAGGCAGACCCATGCCTTACAGTCTGTTTTGCATCAAAGAGAAGGCACTCAATTCTAATGTGCTGAAGGGGGATATTTCACTACTCTGAAAATCCAGCTGCAAGTCATGACAAATACTGATTAAAATTCAAAGCTTAAATGCCTCTTTGTGAAACTCCCTAAGTACAATTAAACCAGAGGCTCAGAATCCTGGTTGGGAGTGATGTCCAGGGACACTAGCCTTGTAACCTCGTCAAAAATCTCCTCTGAGGTCTGAAAAGGCCTCACTTCTGTAATTTTTTTTTCTTATTTCTAACCATTTTTTTTTGATCTCAAATGAATCCTCAAAATTTCCTATGTAGACTAACATTTTTCTTCCTGTAACCTGCATGTTCTGTCCCTGAGATAACCTTGACCAGGTTTCCTTTTCTTTGGTTTGACCTCTTCCCTTCCTAACATGTTTACCAAAGAGATGTAGGAGATAGGTCCAGTGTAGTCTTCCAGCAAAGGCATTGTACATTCCAGCTACAGCTGCACTGTGCTTATAGGGAGTGCAACCTCATCACTTCTGAAGCAGGAGTTCTCATATAACTCCTCTCAGAATTGGACCCTTTTCAGTAATGCCTCTAAAACCACTATGGGCTATTGTATTTTTGTGGGGTGTATTGCTTATTTAACATTCCCCGGCACTATACTGATCTCTCAATGTCTTTAGAGATGCTATTATTCCTCATGTTAATAAGTACCAAAACTTCCTACCTGTTTGTTATTGTATTTATGCAAAAGTACCACTGGCCACATCTACAAGAAGGATAGTCCCATTCTTCCTAGAAATTCAAGCTCAAGATAGCCCCCACTTCCACCAATTGGTGGTAGCATGACCTTTATGATGGCTTATGAAATGATCTTGCTGGCATTCATGACAGAAAGCTAAACTACGAGCAGTGCTTACAACCTCCTCCTGGAGAGAATCATCGTAGGCAGGGTCCAAAGCCTTATATGTAACTTTTGCAGTCTTCTAAAACATCAACCAAAGCATGTTTTTTTCTGGGGTCCTTCTTGGAAGGACTCTGATGTCAGGATTATGATCTTTTTACAAGAAAAATATGGATATCATGTGTGTCATTAAAGATTAGCTCAGTTGGTTAGAGCATAGTGCTAATAACACCAAGGTTGGGGGTTTGATCCCTATCTGGGACATTCACTTAAAAATTGGACATGATGATCCTTGTGGGTCCCTTCCAACTCAGAATATTCTGTGATTCTATGAATTCAGAGGAAGCTGAGGACCCCTCCAGAACATACAGTATTTGTAATCCTGTTTAGTTTTAGTAGACTCAGAACTGATTAGTAATATCTTCTTGAACTTTGTAGCATAGGAGAAAGTAGTCTCCACCTTAATGCTAGCAGTAGCAGCATTTTCTGTCACTAGGCAAAAAAAAGAAATGCCAATCACTTTGGGAATGCTTTGGAAAGTTAGAGCCAAAACAACCTGGCATTTTGAGTGATTGATTCAAATAGAAGGTAATAGTCAGGGTAAAGAGTGTGTCCTAGCATAGCTTATGATTTCTCCTCACCCTTTTCCCCTCCTGACCTCCCCCAGAAATGTGGAGAACCCGCTGGAATGTGCTTTGCCCTTTCTGGAGAGGCATGGATGGTACACCCCTCGCCCTCCCCTTCCCCTCTGCCCACCCACTCCCCAGGTCCTTGCTTGCTGTTCTGTTTTTCTACTTTCCCTAAATGCAACTTACTTTAAGCATGCATTATTATTAACATCCTACAGTAAAATTAAGCTATTATATAACCCATTTGTCGACCTCAGCCAATTTCTTTTATCTTTTTCTATGTCTATTTATGACGTACATCGAGACTGCACGTCCTTTTTTTTTTCCTCTCCATGTTTATTTTAAAAATAAAAGATTAAAAAAAAGATCTATTAAAAAAAAAAGCAACACTAGAGGGTGGTGGGGTTTTGGCCAACAATTCAAAACAAATTTAAGGGGGAGGGGGATGGAATGAAAGAGAAACCGATATTTAAAAAAAAAAAAATCTAAATTATGAAAGTGTCCCTAGACTGCTTTGTCTGTTCCTTTCAATGTGCACATCTGGTTTGTTCATCTTTGGAAGTGTGTGGAATAATTTTTTCTTTAAAAATAAAATTTCAAACCCCCACAATTGCTCTTATCTCCCTTCTTCCTGGGAACAAAGTGCTCTTTTTCTTTTTTTTTGCTTTTTTTTTTAGTATATCTCTACATAGTTATATTTTGATGTATTTCTTTTCAATGGTTGAATTTCTATCTTAGATTTGCTTTGTTCCAATCTTATAATGAAAAAAAAACCAAACAAAACAAAAGAGTTATGAATTGTTTTCTGCAATTTTTTCCCTCTATTTCTGTCTTTAAATAAGGAACTACTTCACTGGCAGAATCCTACAGCTGTATTTTTGAGATTTTCCCTGGAGAATCTGAATATGCAAGCAGTCTAATTTGACAGTGGGGAAGGGGGTGCCAGCACAACAATTACAGTCAAAACACTCATTTGATGTGCTCAAGAAATGATTGTCTCAAATTGCTGAGAATACTGATGTCAATTTGATGGACTTCAGAAAATATGATTCTTAGAAGAAGGCTGTGGGTAGCTACAGATGAAGTTGTTCTAATTCCAATGCATAAAACTAGTTTCCTTGTTTTTTTTGTTTTACTCTCTGGTTATTATTATTATTATTATTATTATTATTATTATTATTAGTTTATGTATTTTTACTGCTATTTTTAGTAGGGAAAAGTCTTAACTGTTTTTATAATTTGAAAACCTTTAATGAAAATGTAAATATTATTACTATAATTATTAATTTTTTTGTAACTTGCATGTTGAAGAAGTTGCAGCTTAGGGTTTGTGAGATTGTCAATGTTAGAGTTCTGTTCTTTCTTTTTGTTGATGGGCATGAATATGCTCATTTGTTTTTGTATATTGCCCATCCCTTCCTTACAGCCAGAAGCTCTAATGCTGCTAGATCACTCCGTACCGCCCTTACATGGACATGGCAACTGACTTACACATTCACTCCCATCATCTTCATCTCCTGTGTAGTACACTCATAGATTTTTACACTCCCACTCCATCCACCCTAGGCATTTTTTCTTCCCATAAGTTCCCCTTCACCACCCCTTTCTTTAGCATTGTTAAAATTTTATGTGCAGTCATCCATTCCTTAAAACACACACACACAAAAATTATAGAAAAAAAGAAAATGTTTAAAAAAATATATATCAAATTGACCAAAAAGGCAAAAAAGCAACAAACTTTGCTTTTAAAAAAAACATTATATGTGTAGATATGCAAACAAGCAAAAGTAAATTGTACAGGATTTTTCAACTGCAATATGCTAACAACTTTACATAAGATAAAAAAATACAACCAAAAAACAGCAGAAAAAAAAAACCCACAAGTTCAAATTTGTTAAGGTGCAAGATTTTTTTCTTTTCATGTTATGTGGTGTGGATGTATGTGTTGTTGCCTCCCTGTATCGCCCTTTGTTGTAAAACAAATATATTTAAAAATAAATAATAAACATTTTGCTAAAAAAGTTTTTAAGAAACAACAACGAAAAAAGCAAGTTACAAGAATGTGGCAATGCTACTTGTCCAAGAGCATTCTTACACAACTTTCTTTTGTAAATTTTTCCTTTCATGCCAAAAAACATGCGGGCAATTTGTTGATGTAAGTTGACTGTTATGAAATCAATGTGGTATGCTTTCTAAATATTTTTATGTATTTTTGATTACTTTTTTTTTAAGGAAATAATGTTTTTGATTTTCGTCATTTTTTTCAGTTCTCATAGGTTTTATTCTTTCTTTTGCTGCTAAAGTGAATTACTTGTTCTGTTTTTCCTTTTTCTGACCTTGTTGCTGTGGCATTTTTGTTTTCTAGTGTATGGTTTTGTTTTAGGAAAATATATAAGTTTATTTATTTTTTAATCAGTTTCTATTTGCCTTTATGTTCCGTGCTCTTTGTATATTGTCAATTGACATATTGTATTGTGCATAGGAGGGTGTGAAGGAGTCCGAGGTAGTTTGCTCCTATATCTTTCTTGGCCCCCCTCTAGAAGCTTCCTTTCCCCTTTCCCCAAACAAATCACCAGTAATGCTACTTTTATTTCATGCTACTTAAATTACATGTAGCCTGGTGGTGTAACCTTCATGTCATGTGAAAAATTATGAGACTTCTTTGGCTTTTGGTAGTTCTCAGGGTTTTCCTAATGCCCTCTATGTCATTCCTACTTTATTCCCATTAAATTGTTTTATTTCTGTCAGTTTTCTTCATGGCTGATTATGTACCTGATGTCCAGTATAAATGATACTCTCAAGTGTACTCTTCCCAGGTAAATGCACTCAGCATGTCATGACTGGTATCAGACTTGCTAATATAATCCAGAAATGATGCCTTCGGCACACACATCCTGAACCTCTAAAATTTCCTTGCTACAAAAGAGATTTGCATAAGTTTCTTCAAAAAGCAGTGAGTACAAGTAAGAAGAAGCTGTACTTCCTTATAAGCACATATGTTTTCACCATTTCTCCAGAGTAATGACATGCTCAGCAGGTATTTTAGGTTCAGCAGGTATCTTAGGTTCAACTGTCAAGTTCCTTAACAACAGATGCTGAAAACGGAACAAATAATTATGCTGAGTAGGAAGCTGTCACCAACTAATCATAAAAGTTTAGAATAATGGTGAGAGATAGAAGAGGGCATGTTTCAGTTGGTTCAGAGCAGCTCAGTGTCTGGGCACCAAAATACCTGGAATCTGGAATACTCTAGAATCTTGCTTGTAGACATGATATCAGGTCCTCTCTGGAAGGTATTAATGTCTGTTTCATTGAAACTCCACAAAGGTGACCAAAAATTTACATCAATGAAACACAGCCCAGCATTAACTTGATATTCATGACTTCTCAAACTCTGTACCTTGCTGTTGCTCATGAGCCATCTATTTGAAAACACTGCATTAACTGATGTCTTTTAATACAGCTGGGGAGGCGCTTAGGAAATGCTTTTCAACCAGCTGCACCAGAATCCAGTTTTATCTAATCACTTTGAAGACTACATAGTTTCTGAAAGAAAAAGAGTGATATTTGAGATAAGAAGTTGCAGAATTCCATTAAGGAAATTATGTTTTTCTCTCTACTAATCTCTATCAATTGCAAGTAAGTCAAACAGCAAGAGTAGAAAATATGAAGAATGTTCATCTACTAGGTTTTAGCATCATCTTTCCTGAGAATCAGAGACTATATGCTGAATAATTTCTGCTTTTTATCCTCAGAGGACTTGAAGGAGAATTAACTAAATACTATTAGACTGAAATTTATGAACTCAGTCTTTTAATAAGGAATTATTGTGCTGATACAGAGGTGGAAAAGGTAAGGACTTATTTCTGCGTCAAGTATTTCATACTGAGTATGGAGCCAAACTTCAGAGGAGCATCATAAGAATAAAATGAAAATTGCAAACTTTGGATGCAGAATTTCAAGTGCCTGCAGAAATGGATAAGTTGTGCAGCCTTTATGGATGACATTTAAAAGTTCTTCATTCACAGATGAAAAAGAGAGAGACAATAAGGTGTGTTACTTATCATCATCAGGAGAAGATGAATCTTTCAGGCTTCCTTTGTGTGTGCCTTTTGTCCTGTAGTCTGACGCCTGAGATGCCACTGAAGTAGTTGTGGCTCTAAAGATCAAAAACAGTGGCTACTACAGTTTTTCGTATTGTTTTCTTTACCATATTTTTTGTTGTGCTCTACATTCGTGACTTGCCCACAACATCCTCACCATTCATAAGATTTCTATTAAATTTTTAACACTCAGTCTTTTCCAATGGTAGAGAACTCTTACTGGAGATCAGCTCCAGAGGTATGAATTATATATCTATAAATACTCTCATAAAGCAAAAACCAGGGCAGCTCCAAGGCTGAAGCAGACCTTTTATATCCCCAGTGCTCTTGGTAGTTAAAAGAAAAGCACAACTCCATGAAAGTAGTATATGTGATAATATGTGCTAAAAGGCTAATTTTTAATTAATATATGTACACTTTTTGGAATGAGAAGGCCAAGCAAAGCACTAGGCTACTTGGTATAAGGTTTTCCATCTCACAGACCTCCATTCTTTCAATGGTCTTTCCAGTTAGATATTCAGTTTTTTGTTGAGTTGTTGCTTGGGTTTTTTTCAGCTGTCCTGTTGATGGACAAACTAGTCTTGCATCTATATCACTGCGGAGGAAACCATTTTATCTGTTTCTTTTTGTTTAGTTCTTTGGCATTGTGTTGTCAAGAGAACATATTTCTATTCAGGAAACATCCATTCCCTGCTTAGGAGAGAAAGTACAGAGTAGGTGAAAAACAAATCTGGAAAATCTTTGTGAAATCTTTAGATTGCTAAAGTAATCCTGAACTTGGAGCATACAGATGAACACTGTTAACTGGTGCTTAACAGCTAACGGAAAAAATGGGGAAAGAAACCAGTAACTATCAGGAAACAACCCATATAATCCACAAACAGAATCTAAATCTCACATGAATGTTTGGAAGCCATGGCCCAAACCAGGTGGTAGCCTTGCCTTTTTTTTTTTCATAGGCACAGAACTATTTGGAAATTGAACCTGTAAGTTTTATTCGGGTCTCAAAGCATTTAATTTTGCAATTGAAAAAATAGTAGACATTGTGAGAAAATAAAAACTTGACAAACATAAAACTTGTCCCAAATGTATTTCCCTTTCTAGATTGTCAGGTAAGGTTTTTCAGGAACACCTCTAGCTTTTTCTAGAAATCTAAATCTTTAAAACATTTGCCTTCTACAGCAAACCATTCAGGATTGAAATCCTGCATAAGTAATTCTTGACAACTAGTGGCTCTTTGTCTTTTAAATCTTTCAGTGCTTACCTTGAAACCAAGCTGGGGCCTGGGCAAGAGGCACTAATTCTCCATCAAAGGACCAGTGGCTCCAGGCAGCTTCCTGCTCCCTCAGTCATCAGACTCCCCCTTGTGTCTACTACAAATAGAAATGTAGTACCAGTAACAGAGTTGTTTGCAGGCATGATATGAAAGTTTGCGTTTGCTCCCCTCCATAGATATCAGTGATCATATTTCTCACACTTTCCTATGAGCTTTTCAGAATTTACATTCCCTGTTATCTTCAAATAACACATTTATTTTAGACTGAGTGGCATTTTTATCATGCCATTTTAAAGGGTGTTTTTATTCATCCATAAATCACATACTCCAAGAAGTATTCATTGTGCTTGCATCCTGTTAGACCTAAGACTTCAAGTTTGCTGTGAGTTTTGCATAGATGCCTAACAGCAGCCAAAAAGAAGCCAGATCTTATACCTAGAGTGTTTTTTCCAACTTATTCTCTCATAGCTTTTTTTAAATTCTCACAGATTCTTCCATTACATAGAGGGGAAAAAAAAATATTATTACCACCCTTGCAACCATCTACCTGATACTCCCAAAATTATATGTTACCAATTTACTCCTTGATGGAGAAGTGATTCCTAATGAAAGACCTTGAAGAGTCTCTTTATTTCTTTAGTATGCAGGTAACCATAGTATGGATTGTTGGACCATTTGAAATAAAAACTAATGATGAGATTAAATAATTGTATCAAAGTGAATCCTATTTTCCTGATATGAAAGTTATATCTGTTCTCACGCATATTGTGAGATGAAAACTTTTTAAAACTTAGTCCTGATTCTGTCCTATTGTCTTCCATCCAACAGACTTGCTGGAATTAAAAAACGCCGATATTTTCTCCATCACTTATGTAAAATCCAACTTATGATAGCAAGTTTATCAGCTTTATTTTATATTTTGAGGAGACTGTGACCATTTAATAGTTGCAGTAGTCTTGATCATTGGCTCAAGTCCTGAACAGCAACAAAACCTATAAAACTGTGACCTAGTTTTAAATTAAAGGGGTATTGGGGCAAAAGGAAAGTCTTCCTATTAAATGTAAGATATGTCTGATTCCTTCCAGAAAATTAATTACTAATAGGATAAAAATAATTTCTCTTTGGAAGAAAACTGCCTAAAATATTGTCTCAGTGTATGGTAGGTCAACTGCATACTGATGCTGTGTGCCAGTATAGTAGCTTTTAAGAACAAAGTTCTTAAAAGTTCTAGATAAGCAATTAAAAACTGCCAAGCTGATTTTTTTTCTAGTTGAGTGTCACAGATGGTGAAGAAAATCACAGATGAATACTGCTCTTTAACAACAAAACACTGATCTTAAAAATTTATTTAAAAGGAATGTTTTCTATCCCTGACTTTCTGGAACTTAAATTCTCAAGTCATGCTATTTGATGCAATTCTGACTTAAATACTGGTATTTTTACTCATTTTTTTTACCAGGCTCAGAGATGATCTTTCCCCCTGAGGCATACTCCAAGTTCGTCCCAAGCCCACCTGTTTGCACAGATTATAGATGCTCTACTCAAGCCACACATAGGGCTTTTGGACATATATAAATCATATTACATGCTCTAGTTTCTACATTGCTCAGAAAACAGCTCAGATGCATGAGCACAAAATGCTATGTAACCATTTGGCAGACTACATTTTTTGCTTTGTTACATAATTTTTTTAAAAATATGTTGTTTGCAGTGATTGATACTTATTTCTCCATTCTCTAGCCAGTAACAAAAGAGGTATATGATGGTACTGAGGAAGTTCAGGAAACTAAATGTGTTCAAATTGCCCTTTGCATCTTAGCTTAAAATTAACTTTGCACGAAAGTATGCAAAGTACCACATTTCTTATTTTACCCTAATTTCTGCCCTGGTACCTCTGAGGTATTTCTGACTTTTTCAATTGATTAAACTGTGTCACCCCTTAGTTTCTCCTTAAGGAAAAGAATAAACCATATTACTACTTCAGCTATCCAAATTTATTGAACTGTTAAGTACCTTTTCCAGTATATTGCCATCTTCAATATGCAATTTGTTCAGATATATTACTCTCCAAATACAGTTAGAAGGAATTTTGATCGTAAAGTATTCCTTATAGAACTTCTGTGGACATTATTGACAGAATTCAATGGGGAAAAGTGCATGTAACATGTAGGGTAGATTTGAGAGAGCAGAATTTTGACCCTAATGCCATTCAGCACTGTAACAATGCCAAACTGTTCATTATCAGGTATTAATACATAATGAAAACCCAGAATTATTTATTTAGAAGCTGTAATTCCTTTTACGTATGCTTCCTTAAGTAATGGTGAGTATAAATAAAATTTTCAATGCATTAGAAATACTTACTGAGTTACACTCCTTTGAACAGACCTAGATGACTCTCATGATGTCAGCTGAACTCCTCTGTGTATATTTTAAGCAGCTTACTTAAGTGGCTAGCCCAACAAAAATTACCCAAGGGACAATTTATACACAAACTTTCAAAAGTAATATGGCTCTCTCTAAAAAAAGTGTTGGCGACCAGTATGTCAGCAGAAGACTATGTAATCATAACTAAAGGAATTGGACAACATCAGAATAAAACTCAAAGGTAGAGGTACAGTCATATTACAATAAATAGAGAAAACAGGGCTACTACCCTAAAAGTAGCAATATTACTACTCAGAATCCAAATTATAGAAATAATACACCAATTTTCTTGTTTCAGTTGTAGCTTATACTGTGGAAAGGTACAAAGGTACAGTTTGTTGTTCAAGAGTAGACCATAAGTCTGTCTTGTTCTTAGTCCTCTGTAGGCAGGTAACCATCACGTTAGAAATAAGTAGAACTGATCACAACTCTCTACTTATCAAGAAGTAACAGTAAGTGTGAAGACAACTTCTGCAGTACAATCCTGAGCTCAAGTGCTAACTTGGTTTATCAAAGTCCTTTTTCAGTTATATCATCAATCACAATAAAATCTATCCTAATTCTTAATCAAATTATGGTAAAAGAATATCAAGAAGAACCAAAGATGAAGATAGTATGCACTGGTAGCCCCAAGAGAAGGAAGAAAAGGGACATCACTAGTGTCGAACAGAATGCTAAAGAAATCTTAAAAAGAGATGAATATTGAGTAGAGCTCTGTACCCTCACGGACCCCAGTAAGTACTTCGTTCTTATTCCATCCCTGCTTTCATGAACTTTCCCACAATTTAAGAGCCAGATAATGATCAAGAAGAAATGGATGAATGGGAAATGCCTTAAGGAAAGGACTTCTAAACTACAGGTGAGCAGATTAGAATGGCAGAGAAAATATCACTGTATTTTAAACAAAAAGAAGAGGAAAAACTGGCAAGATGAGCAGTAAAAAATACATCTATGAGAACATTGGTCTATGGAAGTCTAAAATAATTAATTTAAATAGTCTGCTAACCAAATGCTTAAGAAAGATCACTATCAAAAGTTAATGACCACAGAGTCACTTGAGAGTATCTCCAAAAATCAAAAACTTTGTGTTCCCAAAAATTCAGAGTATTTCACTGTACATACCTAGCATAGGTAGGAAATGGAACATGCAATTTACCAACGTCCAAACAGGATGGGAGGGAACAATGAAAGGCACCCTTAGGAAAGTATGTTGGTAGTGTAGCTAGGGTGAGAAACCTGATCCCTGACACCTTCTCAGAATGCCCAGAACCTCTCCTGCCCTTGAGTCAAGTGAACAGAAAATGGTGCATTGTGTCATTAAAATGTACTAATCTTCTTTTTTTTTTCTCTTTTCCATCCCAGGAGGTGAATTAGTTATCCCTCTACTTGTAGAAGACCCTTTAGATATCCCTCCTATTGCTACTCGTGCACCTTTCATTACACTTCCCCCTACCTTTCGCCCCCTCCTCACCATTATTGAGACCACCAAAGATTCCCTGTCCATGACCTCTGAGGCGGGGTTACCTTGCTTGTCGGACCAAGGCAGCGATGGTTGTGATGATGATGGCTTGGTGATATCTGGGTATGGCTCAGGGGAAACCTTTGACTCTAACCTACCCCCTACTGATGATGAAGATTTTTACACCACCTTCTCCTTGGTAACAGATAAGAGTCTTTCCACTTCCATCTTCGAAGGTGGCTACAAAGCACACGCACCCAAGTGGGAATCCAAGGACTTTAGACCTAACAAAGTCTCCGAAACTGGTAGGACTACTACCACGTCTTTGTCCCCTGAGCTGATCCGCTCCACAGCTTCGTCCTCGACTGGGATGGTGCCCAAATTGCCAGCCGGCAAAATGAATAACCGTGAGCTCAAACCCCAGCCTGACATAGTCTTGCTTCCGTTGCCCACTGCCTATGAGCTAGACAGCACAAAGCTGAAGAGCCCGCTAATCACTTCCCCCATGTTCCGTAATGTGCCCACAGCAAACCCCACGGAGCCGGGAATCAGACGGGTTCCGGGGGCCTCAGAGGTGGTCCGCGAGTCGAGCAGCACAACGGGGATGGTCGTCGGCATTGTGGCTGCTGCCGCCCTCTGCATCCTCATCCTCCTGTATGCCATGTACAAGTACAGGAACAGGGACGAGGGGTCCTATCAGGTGGACGAGACGCGGAACTACATCAGCAACTCAGCCCAGAGCAACGGCACGCTCATGAAGGAGAAGCAGCAGAGCTCAAAGAGCGGCCACAAGAAGCAGAAAAACAAGGACAAAGAGTATTATGTGTAAAAAAGAATACTTATTTATATATAAATATATAAATACTTAATGAGATTTAACTGAAATATCAGAACCATTGCAGCGAACGAGATGATTGAGAGATATCGTTTGTGGGAAAAAGTATTGGGAAAAAAATTTCAGCAGTGACTGTTAATGTCTCAGTCATCACTTGGAGTCAGCAATCTTTGCCCTAATGTATTATAAAGCACACTTAGCGTTCTGGAGATGGCGCGCACAGCTCTGCTCTGTTAGTGAACTTGGACATCTCCAAATCTCCTCCTCCACTGAACTTTCTGCAAAAGTAGAAGACTTCATGGCTTACTTGTTTCATATCTCCAAGTGAGTCTTTAACAATGTTCGTGATCCCTGACTGTATCGATAATTTTTCAGTTTACTTATTTAAAAAAAGAAAAAAAAAAGGAAAGAAAAATTTAAAAAAATACAAACAATATTAAACAACAAGGAAATATTGAACAAAATTATCTGGCCGTGTCCAGCATACATATAATTTTTCGAGATTGGAGGAGGGGAATAAAAGATTTTGGAGATTGTTGGATTTTTGGTTTGGTTTGGTTTGGTTTCTTGTGTTACTTATTGTTTGGTTTTTTTGATTACTTTTGGGTGTGGGAGGGAAGAATGGAGTGGAATGGTGCAGGGGGTCAACCATATGTTGAGAAGAAATCTCGGAAAAAAAAATCCCTAATAAACAAAGAGAGACTATTGCCATATATGAACTCAAAAGCTACCCATGGTGTTTACTCTGCATATCTGGTTGTGTTGTCTCTAGAATCCTTGGTCTTGCAGTAAGTTGTTTGCTAACAACGCAGTGAAAGTGACTCATGGGTGGTGCTGAAGAAAAATATCATGGAAAGCTGGTTCCCTTGGATCTGGCTCCAGTATTTGCAATTGAACTGAAGAGTAGACTGGTTTGGGTCTGTTCTGATCAGTCATTGGCTTTATTTGAGTGCAGCACTTAGTACACATTAGCACAGCCAAAGTATGTTTAAAAGGATTTGGAGATTCAAAAAAGAATGCTTAAAAATTATTAACTATTCTGAGCTGAATATACTGTGCAAAAATAAAGGAGCCTTCCTCTAGGTTCTGGTTCTGTGACATTGCAATGCATGTAAAAAATAATGATAAATCAGTTTCCTAAAGAGATCAGAAAGACACCACTGGAGTTCAACTTGTGACAAGACCAATAAATGTCAGAAAAGCTAAACACTTGTAAAAGAATGCAAAATACATCAATTTTTTTTGACATATAACTGGTTTTCGTATGTAATATTTTAATTTTGTAGCTTGACATTTCAGATCATCTCTGTCTTTCCATTTGCCCTATTCTCCCTTTTCCTCCTCTTTTATATAAAAGAAAATAAATAAAGCTGCTGTGACACACAAAAAAAAAAAAAGAAAAATTAATTTAATAATATAATATATATATATACACACAGATATATTTATCATGGTATGTTTGATGGGACGACTGGAACAGAAGTTCTGTTATGGTCTTAATGTGGAATGAGAATGTTCTTGAAGAACAGAGTAAAAAGAAACAGACAACAAAAGCAAACCTTAAAATGTGAAGTGTGTGTTTTAGCTTTGTCACAGTTACCTGTGTCAAAAAAAAAAATCTGAAATTTTGTTTACATATTTTACTACTATTTTTTTGGTAGTATAATTTCTATATGGATACCCTGATGGTGTATATACTGTTTTATGGTTAAATTGGGAATTTCTTTTGTTTTATTTAACTTATTTAATTTGGTTGTTTGGTTTCTACATTTTCCCAGTTATTGTGAAAAGGATTATCTTACTGTACAGAACAATAGTGAGGCAGTTTGGCGGCCATACCTATCATGAGCAAAAAAGCAAATGAGGGAGAGAGACAGAGAGGAAAAAAACAACAAAAACCATGAAGGATTGAGAACTCTGGAATATCAGAAATTTACACTTTTGCTGTATGCGGATGAAAACTAATCAGCTGTTTAGGTTTAGAAATCTACTCTTGCTGGTGTTTATAAGTCGCATGAATATTTGACTCTGAAGAAGTGTCATCAGATACACACACGCACATGGGAACTTAAATTCAAAAAAACCAGTCTTCTCAAACATTTAGAGAAGATGCTTTCATGTTAACAAATATTTTCAGTGCGTGTATGTGTGCGTGTGTGTGGTGCGTGTGCGTGTGTGTGAGGTTGAGCTTTTTTTCTTTTTTATTTTTTATACTAAAAAGAAAAAAAAAGACAGGTTTTAAAAAGGTATGAAAGCACGATTTTAGATGACTTAACTGGCCGAAACTATATAAAGTTGATTATATCTTGATGTCTGTAAAAGATTGCTGTTCTTGGAGTCTTGGAGTCTTGTGAAATGATTTCCTGCTTTCTTTCTTCCTTTCCTTTTTGCTTTCCTTTTTTAAGTTAAAGGAAAAATATTTACACTTTCCTTTTTTGTGTAAGTTTCTATTGGACAGTTTTTGGGAACATGTGCATTTCTGTATGTGGGCTTCTACCATATCCCTGTTGCTTTATGGACAACCTGAAGAATTTTTATTTGAGTTTTTGTGATGTTATTGCTTTTTTTCCCTTTCTTTTTCTTCTTCCTTTTTGATTCTTTTTCTTTTCTTAGTTGCATTTTGTTTAAAGATATGCTTAGCAATAAAATGTTCTTCCCAAAGCCCTCGATGTTGCTGGGTTTTTATTTCAAAAGACTTCAGGGAAATTCCAGACCTTTAAAGATGAAAATAGTTTGTTAAGTATCACATATCCCATGGGAGTGTCTAGCCACCAAATTACATAATCATGTTCATGTTTGCATTCTTCCATTAGTCCAATAAATCTTATTTCTCTCCTCTGCAGGGATATAAATTCAGCTTGAGTCTGGGGTCTGTCTCACACCACTCCCAGACCCCTTGTCCCCTACCACCACCTCAGTGGGATAGTTCTCTGCAGTATGGGTTTCAGTCATCTCAGATAAAAGCATACCTAGGTTATTGACTTAGTATGCCCTTTCTTATGTGCTGCCTTATTTCTTATGTGCTCCTTCTAAAGTGTATAACTCTTCCCATGATATTTATGGGATTCTGGATTCCTCTTCTTTGGCCAGGAGTCTGTGTGATGTGCTGCAGCAGCCAAATCCTTTTGGGGATTTGGACGGCCAATTTGATGAAGAAAAATGTTCACATCATTTTACATGAGGATCTAATTTAGGTCCTCTGAATTTATCTGACTTCCACATACTACCTAAGGAACATAGTTTACATACTTTGGGTGCTATGTGCTAGGGATCAGACTTGGGTACCTAAAGTAGATGGAGTGAGTGTTAGCTTCCTTCCAGGTTGGTCTTGAGGGTCCCAAAACCCCAATGACAGCTACTGACTGTCCTTTGTTTTCCTATGGGGAATAGCAGTCTATGATGATTCTGGCCATCAGGCAAAATTGCCAATATTCTGTCTTGCTTTAGCAAGTTGTGCAGAAATTCAGCTCACAGTAGTAGTGTGGAGTATTTTTCAGACTCGATCTTCCCAAGCTGCCTGCAAGATTTTTTACTTTTTAGAGGCATCTGGAGGTCAGCCAAATGAGCATTTCACAGCCCTTTCATTCTTCAGCAGAGGATGACTCCACCTTTATTTTCCCTCTAGGTGGAATCCACTGGTCTTTTGAACAGTGTTTTCCACAGGTTTCATTTACAACCAAATTAGACTCAGGATAAAATGATTGTTAAGGTATTCCCTGTGATTTTCTACATTGTTTTTGTTTATATGTTTCCATAGGTGAGAATATGTGTGTATATATGTGAGGTTCTTTTACTGTTTTTAGTTCTTTTGTGAATCATATTTTAACAATTTACAGATTTCTCACTAGTATCAAACCCACAGGTTCTGGTCAAAACTCCACTCTTCTTTCACTCTGAAAATAATTAAATTCTTGGATGATGACTGGTATCTAATATTTCCAGTACTGGAGCAGTCAGTTTGCATGTGGGAGATCTAGGTCTGAGCCTAATTGCCTCTTCTAATATTGCAGAAAATTTCCTTATCACCAGCAGTTTGTGTTCTGAAAAAATATTTTTTTCTCAATGCTTCTCTCAAAACTTGTTATACTTTATATCATTATGAAATATTATGTGAAGCAAGAAATTTCAACCTGATTTACCCTCACCCTCTGGCTATAGTCACGCTTTTTTTTCATTTTGTCTGTCACCTAATAATCATTTTATTACTTAGGCTAAATGAAAATGTCAGAAAGGAGGTTTCATTGCTGCCTGAAAGGCTTAGGATTATTGTATGTCTTTGGCTCATCTCAGAGTCATAGAATCATTGAGATTGAAAGGGATCCCTGGAGATCATGTAGTCCAAGCACTACCACTCCAAAGCAGGGTCAGCCACAGTAAATTGCCCAGGAATACGTCCATTTAGATTTTTTATATCTCCACATGTAAATTCCACAATCTCTCTGGGCAACCTGCTCTGTGTGACCACCCTCATTGTAAACAATTTTTGTTGTGGTTAGATGAAATTTAGTATTTCTTAATTTATTCTCACTCCCTTTTACTGTTTTTCTGAGTACCACTGAAAAGACCCTGGCTCTCTCTTCTTCACAATCTCCCATCAGGTGTTTATACATATTGCCTATAATCCTTCTCTTCTCCAGGCTGAGCAGTCCGTGCTTTCTCAGCCTCTCGTTGCGCAACAGATGCTCCAATCGCTTATTCATCTTCATGGCTCTTTATTGGACTCACTCCAGTATCCACAAAATCTGGAGCAGACACAGTTGCCTTACCACCATCGCTGTGCTAGGGATATAGCTCTTTTTGAGGGCCAGGGCTTGCAGCTTCTCCTCTTCCCAGCATTTTCTGCTGGTAACATCCCACTTACTGTATTACTTTTTGAAGATCCCTCTCTTAGATGCCTAGTTCTATTCTTCCAAAACTGTTCAGCACATCTCTGCTTATTACGCAGTTGCAGATGTTCTTTACAAATGCTGAGACAAGTCATGAAGATCTAACAGATGGGCTCTAGCCTTCCCAGTCCTGGTGTTGCAGAAAAGGACTAGTGAGAAGCAACTTCAGTGCTGGTTCCTTTTCCAGATACTTCTGTCCATGCCTCTGGTCTGGGAGGGAGTGCAGAGGTGCCGGTCCCCTCTGCAGTTGCTATACCAGGCTGGTTTTCTTCCCCAAGAAGTAAGAATGTATTGATCAGACATTTTTGTAATAATGGTTAGAAAACAAATATCCTTCCCATAGTGGAAAGGATATTAGTGGAAGTATCCCTGGTGGAAGTATCTTCAATCATAAGATGGTGATTACTGCCAAGGAAGCAAAGAAACATGGATTATAATTAATGAATGTGACTTGACACTTAGAGCCAAAGCTAAGCATGTTACTTCTATGGAGATTTTAATGCTATCAGTCTTGAAGGAGTGTGCGACATCACAAAGTTCTGTCAAGTGCCCTGTGAGAACAAACATACAGTCACATGCAGCTGCTCCTATTTTATCATACATCCTCTCTAACTGCCAAGGCTGGCCCTGGCTCCCTGGAATATGTTTCTCATATGGTAGAAGAAATCACTGCCTTTCCCTCCACACATGCAAGCGGCAACAAAGAGTTGGAACAGCAACAAGACTTGCCTTCCAGCTATCAGCCTCATTGGATCTTCTTGGGTTAGCAGAGGTACTAGCAAAAGGAAGAAAGACTATTGCCTGCTGTTCAGCTCACTGGATGGGACCCTAGCTGAGCTCTGAGAGCACGTTTGCCAAGATGGTAAAGAAGTATTGCAACCTGGGGTGTCATGATAACTGAAGGAGATCGGAGTGCAAGGTCTTGGCTCATTCTTACTCTTTATTGGTGAAAGTTTCCCCACAGTAGCAACATTTGTTGGGTTATTGAGGAAAAAAATTAGAACCTCTTATTCAGTTTGGTAAAACACTGCCTTATGCATAGCAAGCTTTTGCACTCTGTTTCCTCTTCAGACAATACACATTGCACACAGTGAGATATCTCCTGTCCCCAAATGTTCCTGATAACCGCATTTCTCTGGAGAGCCTGTCCATGTTGTCTTTCACAGATCAGCAAATACAGTGCCATTCAAGGTAAATTTTCAGTAAATGCAGGGATTTGAAGTTTATAATTTTGGCACATGGATTGCATGAGAGAGGAAAAGAGCACACGCAAGAGATTATGTTGAACTGCATAAAGCTGAAAAAAAGGCTTAATTTTTAAAGATATTAAGGTGGCTAATTCATATTAAAAATGGGAAATCAATTGTATAAACATCTTTAAAAATTTAGGTCGTTTCAGTGTAGTAGTCAGATAAAGTTAATTAGCTAGTGTTAATTGCTTGGGCTTCTGCAGTACCAAAGGCAAGTACCAGGCAAGTGGTGGTTATGCTCTCTCTCTCTCTTACATGAGGTTTACATAACTCACCTGCTTTTATAGGGGGAGTTAAAATGAGAAATGGCTCAGATCTGCTGTAAATTGACTGGAGAGAAATCCATTTCAGCATGCTAGGATGAAGTTACATGAGCATGTTGTTTCCTTAAATTCAATTGAAGCAGACCAAAAAAAAAAAGTTTGGCACATTTCCACATCTTGTAAAAACCTAACAGAAGCACAAACCTGTACTTCTTCCACCAAGTGCAACCTAAAGCTGCTCAGCAAGAGTTTTCATCTAGTGCTCCATGCTTCTCTTTTGTCTACCTGTTCACATAAGACAGCGAAGGGTCAATGTCCACATGGGTCAGCAAAATCCTGAGCAAGCAGCTGGGAAAACCTTAGGCACACTTTTCTTCAATGGCTCATAAGCCAGGCACTATGCCTAACAGCTTTGGCTGGTGCACATGGAAAATTAAACTCACTGGAAAAGAATTATACATACATATATACGTATTTAGAACACTGTGAACAAATTCACTCATTATGTGTATTTCAAGAGTAGTTACATAAAGTGTTAAAACACTGGACAACAAAACCATAGAAATGAAAGTGGAAATGGGAAAAGTAAAGGCTCTGTAAATCATCAGTAATTGTATCTGCTTGACCTCCTTGGTGCAGATAGTTCTCACATTTCTTTGTCTTACAGTTTGTCCCAGTAATTTAAAGTTGTTACTACTATCAAGTGATGGTAACAGCAAGCCTTTAGTCCAGTGGGGAAAGAGATAATGAAAAGACCACTCACAGGATGATGAGGAACCCCCTTGTGAGGAGCAGTTTCCAAGGGCTATTTGTAAGAGCAAATGAAGTGGGAAAAACAGAGCCTGCATGCAGTGTACAATCATGCACCAGTAATGCAGTAGGTGAAAAACAGGATTTTGATTTCCAAAACCAAGAATGCATGGACAGAGCTGTGCCAGGGCTAAGACTCTTTATGTAACTTGAATCAAGCCCTTTTCTCCACATGCATTATGAACTAGAGTTTACTGATACTGTGCAGGATTCTATTCCATTAGGTCTATTTGAACTCTGTAAGTATTTGATTTCTACCACTTCTTCTTCATCATATGAATATTTATGTGTGCCTGTTCCCTGACTCACAAACATTAATTTACATCCTTGTGAGCTGATACTTCTATCTCCCCTGTGCAAGGACGTAAACTAAGACAAAGAGACTTGCCTGTGGTTATATAGAAAATCCATGGTTGTAAAAAGATTAGCCCTCAAAGCTCCCAGACTCTCCC